CCCCAGTCCGCACAGGGAGGAGATGGCATTGTCCGACAGACACAGGTGCTCCACGGCCGGGAGCTTTGGCAGAGCACGCAGACTCACCAGGTGATTACGCTGCAGGTTCAGGATTCGGCACCTGGATGGCCACACAGATTCATCAATCAAGCTTTATTTGTGTAGCACTATACAACCGCAACTGGGCCAAAGTGCTCTCTAGAAGTGCGTTAAAAGATGTAAAAACTATAATCCTAAAAAATACTACATAAAGCAACAGTATTATGTTTTAAAGGCAATGGTGAACAAATACATTTCTTCATTTCTAAATATTACCCATTACATTACATTACCCATGAGAGAGACAGAGAGAGAGAAAGATAAAAAGAAAGAGAAAGAGAGATATACAGAGAGAGAGAGGGGAGTAAGGCAGATGAAAAGAGAGACAGAGGAGTAAGGAGGGAGAGAGAAATGAGAGAGAAAAAGGACAGAGGAAGAAAGAAGTAACAGAGAGACATTACCCAACCGTGTCCCAAGATATGCAAGCATGTTCCAATCAAATATTTCTTCTACTTCTACTTCTAATTATAATGTTCTGTTTCATTTCTTCTAATCACCAAAGGACGATCACTCCGGGTCCACTAAACTCTCTCTACGGTGCCAGTTTGACAGATAATATTGTTTAGTTGTGATTTCCAGCAGTTTCATCTTACTACTACTAGCTACTACCTTTAATCAGATGAAATTTAAATCCAACCAGGAGGACCGTACCGCCTAGCCAGGCTGGCGCCACCTAGTGCTTTCACTCAATTTCATTTCTCTCCAGGGACTAGATCAGGAATCTGAATACACTTGAAGGTTTGCAAGAACCCTGGAAGTTGTAGACTGCACACTGGCCAATCAGCAAAGAGCTGTGAAGCCATGACATCAAACTCAAGCGCCTTTCTGGGTCCCTTTTGTGGAACAACAACAGTAACAACAGTAAACAAAGTGCTCAAGATGGATGTAGACGAAGCCAGACATTTTGTGTTGACAACGATTCCCGAGATCGAGAATTTAAAGCCGGAACAAAGAGAATGTTTGGTAAATTTTATCAAGGGGAAAGATGTTATTGCCCTTCTTCCTACGGGATTTGGGATTACATACGGCACGACCAAATAGCAGTGACTGGTTAAATAAAAAAGTACCCACCTACTGTGGAGCGAACGAATCCTAATGCTGTTAGGTCAGACGATTTCCATGAAGTGAAACCGGCTGATGAATCAGGCTACGTACCCCCTATCCTATTCCTACGTCCTTTATTTGCCTCTAAACAAATCACCCATCAAGTCATTTAAATAAAAGCTCTCTTTATCTCTCAACTCCTATTTCCCGTGGTTTCAGAAATGTGCTTTCTAGTCTCCTCCGCAGCAGAAAAACCAACAGACACCTCTCCATCTCCTCTGTACCACCACACTCATTTGTCTGTGTATGTTTCAGTAGTTTCTGGGTGGATTGTTTGAGTGGCAGATCTATCCCAGGGCAGCCAAAAAGTGTCCCAAAAACACTATATAAATCAAATTCTATGCTATGTTATTATTTATGTTTAACTGATTCTGTAATCCATAGTGCAGTCTTTACCTTGGCAGTCGTACGGAGCTCAGATCGGTGAGGGAGTTGTCCACCAGCTGTAGTTTTTCCACACGGATCAGCCTGCGGAGAATTCTGAGGAAGTTCTCTCTCTGATATGGATCACCTAAATCCTGGTAGGACAGGTTCAACTCCTGACACGAGGCAATTATCAGAAAACTGTTAACTTTCTGTAAATTTCGTATGTATTTAAACATTTAAAATAAACCATAATGTACAAACCACACAGTTTTCCCAGTTTTCCTGCAGTCTCTCTTCCCAGCTCTGACCCTCTCCCTCTCTCCTCCGCCGGGTTCCTCTCTCCACAGACACTTCATGACCCACTCTTTCAAACAGCTCCTCATCTGATGGACCTTTACGGAGAAACATGTGGTCAGCCGTGTAGTCTGTATCACTAAATATTTATCTGAAACTTTCGTGGTGGGATAGATAACCTTCTCGGACTCTAGGGCAGGTCAGCTGGTCACCGGTCACATGACACTGCTCCAGGCGATGCCACGACACGAACTGAAAGCGACTGGATGGAAGCTGAGATAAAAAGAAATAATAATACCACTTGGATTTAACAAGGAAAAGAGAGAGAAATTGTCCTCTGTGGGTCAGGTTATTCTATATGGACTCTAATCAAAGCTGAGACAAATACATTTTTCTGATCTGATCCAGGAAAACACAGTGAATTTTCAGGATATAAAGTTTAAGATTAAGCAATATAATCCTACTATTTACTGTTTTTATTGGCCCAGAATGTGTCATAATATTTATTTATACATTGCAGTCATAACTAAAGCTATTTGAATTGATCTTGCCATACTTTTTTGCTGTTTTAACAAGATAAATATGTACTTCCAGTCTCTACACTAGTATCAATTGATATCAAGCCAAAGTACTGAGTTCAGAATGAGGAAAAGCTGGATCTTCTTGAACATGGCCTTGCCCATCTGAGAAGTAATGATCCACTGATGAAATAAAATCAGCTGTGGAAGTCAACGGATTTTTTTAGGGGTTGTGATACATCAATGCAAATATTTACAACTAAAAAGTAGAATGCAGCATTTTGTTTTTGTAGTTTTACAGTTTTCGCAAAATAATAGAGAGAATAATTGGGCTACAACCCCAATGACCCTGTACATGCTTCCTGGTCACCTTTACCCTGTCTGTAACACTATACTACTCTTTGTGAGTGGACATCAGTCTGTCCCCACCTCACCTGACCCTCACTGAATGGATGTCCACAATGCAGTGGCTCTATATTACCAGGCGAATACAGTGGCTAAGAGACTGACACCATGTTAGCGTAAAGAGATTGAAGATACTCTCTACTATTGTATGTATACTTGATTTGTGGGTCTTTTATGATGCATAATCCAGTAGAGTTTTTATTTAAAAGCTCAGGCTATACATTTTATGATATAATATACCCTTTAAGGACTCTGGTATGTTTGTTTCGATTGCATGAGCATATGTGGTACTCACAGGTGTGGCTAAGAGCCCAGAGTCCGGGCTGCGCTCCACACACAGAGGGCTGAGGGTGCCAGCGAGCTCCGAGCACTGAGACGAGTGGGACTTGGGCAAACTGCTGCTCTGAGTGTTCACACCAGAGGAACTGTGGAGGACAACACAAACACTTCAGCAGAGATACACCTGTCTGTAATGTGTATGCAGTTTCACCTGTCTGTACCACATATCTGTAATATGTAATGTGAATGAGTTACACTTGTCTGTAACGTGGATGAACAGATGACACCTGTCTTTGCGTGAACAGGCTCTTCTGTCAGCAACACGTACAGACGCAGCACGTTTTATGGGTTACAGCTGTCTGCCCCATGTCAGAACAGGTTACCCACATTTGCCCTATGCATGAACGGGTGAAGCTGAAACAAAAGCCCAGCAGTGAAACCCTGACCACTGCCTCGCTGGTTTGGGTTACAGTGAACTGGCCTGACAGAGCTGATTAGCACCCGTTGCCATAGCAGCAGTCGACACCTGAGCAGGCACTATTAGTTTAAATTTGGCCCAGTTCATGGGACAGCGTCAGCAGCCGCCAGGGACTCCATAATGCAATCAAGAGGCTGTAGTTGGAAATTAAATTGGTCACAAAGTCAAGTGAAAATGTAAAAAGTAAAAGTAAAAGAAACATTTAATTTATAATATCATAGTAGTTTAACAGTAATGAAGGCTATAATATCTCTATTACATATGTAGTGGGTGCTGGTTGTGCTCACCTTTCGGACATGTCCCAGTGTTGTGCAGGTAGTTCCCAGCTGTTAAGTCATAGTACGAGGCTCGCTTCAGCCCTGTGCTGCTGTAAGAGTGACCCATGGAGCCTGTAGTCCTGTGTTAGAGCGGTTATTAGAAAGAGTTCAGCTCCTGTGCTGGTGAGACCAGTGCGGCCCACAGCTCCTCTGAGACCAGGGTTAGGACATGCGACGCTCCCGAGTTCCAGCTATCAGCTGATCATTCAGCACTGTTGCCTGGCAACACTGTCCAGGTATCTGCTGTTTACAGGGAGGAGCGAGGGAAAGACGCTGGGACAGGAAACTGCTCACATTTTAAACAGTTTGAACGGCTCTAACACGTACAAATAAATATCAACTATGTAATTATTCATTTAAACCGGTCACAGGTAGCTTACCCTAAATAAACACTGATTAAGAGCTATACTTGCATCACACCAGAAAACCACCAAAAGTCCAGATTACACTCTGACGCTGACGAGCCTTCAAAGTCAATCAGAACAGGCCGGCTCTTGCTTGTAGGTTGCATCATAAACTTTTATATGATGCACAAAGAACTCTGTACTGAAATAAAATAGATCTGCTTGCACTATGGGCACGTTTTAAAAAACTTTAATATATAAAAAAAAAAAAAAGTGAATTTGAGGTTTGCCTTTTTGTGATTCCTAACATTACATTACATTACATTACACAGGGGAAGAAGCCACAGTATGAAGGAGCCACAGATAAACCAACAGTGTTCTGTGGAGGAATCGAACACAATACTTGCTTAACTATGGCATTTGAACAACAATTATAACATTTTGTGTTGCTATGTTTGGTTTGTGTGCTAATCCTTTTCCTGACTTCTTTCACATTTTGAAAAGAAAGACACATTCTTAATGGGAAAACATTCCAGTTTTATTGAGTATAATACAGCTGGTGCTACCTGTAGGTTTCCTCTGTACATCCACGCCTGGTACTGAACATCCATTTCCCTACTGCCCCTGCATCATGCTCACTCCGTCTCCATAGCAACCGCCCTTAGTTACGCAGTCGGCTCTGCTCACCTGCGATGCCCAGCTGGGGTCCAATCAGCCCCACATATGTGATAAGGCATATTCATTCAACAGCGGTAAAGCCTATAGTGTAAAAAATATTATTACTAAGACCGGTGTATAAGGACAAAATGTTTATTCAGCAATAAATACTTCGCATATATATAGAACACACTGCCAAATGTACATGAATAATAAAATAGGTTAAATGTTTACAGTGTAGTAAGTAAAAAGATTAAATACTGTTGAGATTTTGTGCATCTTCTATGAGGGTGCAAGTAACTACTAAGCTGCAAAACTTAAAGGGCTGCGCATGAACTGCAGAGTACCTCCATGGTTTTTCAGGTAAAACTCAAGACCATTTTAATACTACTTGTAATAGAATTCAAAGCCATATTGTGGAGGGCCTTTGCTTTAATAAAACATTTCATTTGTATGCATGTATACTTTTATGACCTTGATTTTAAACCTTGGAGATACCCTGGTTTACTGTTGTGTTCTTTCTCATATACAAACAAGCTGAATGAGAGATTATTTACACTTTCTGCATGTCTGTATCGAAGTGTTTAAAGCTTCCAGTATCAAAACTTCACATATTAGTATTTCAATATAGAATTTACCGTAGAACATCTGTGAAAGAGTATAAAACACAGCTGAAGATTGTGAGAGAGGATAGGTAGCGTTTTATGATGTCAGAAATTCCGATCTGGCTGTGAGCTGGCGATCGCCGCACACCAAAGTTATATCGAATCAAAGTCCTCGATGGGTTCCACCACTTCGGGGGTCATGACCCTGCCCATAAACAGGATGGAGCCTGGAAAATAACAGATAATGGGTATGTTTCAAGCTCTTACACACAACACGGCAGGTATTAAAGGTCCTATATTAAACAAATATATAATAATAATGTTGTTACCTTATCAAAAACATACCTAGAGTTGTGTTTTGTTTCATTCGCACATGTTTGAGTAACCCTCCAAAGCTCAAAATTCTCTGGTGGGGGTTTTACCTTTAGTTCAGTAAAGATTGGCAATTCCAGGGCTAAAATTATCCAAATGATTTTAGTGAATATATATGGAGTTTCAAAACACAGGTGGAGCAATTCCTGTATTACGTGTTTTCAGTTTGAGAGAAGAACTCGGTCTAAATATGCAGGATTTGTGTGTTAAACAGGTGTGAATGAAACAAAACAACTCCAGGTTTGTGATGAGGAAACAACATTATGACATAGATCAGAAAAAATGCGTAATATGGGTCTTTTGAAGATAATAATTATGAAATGCGGCCAGTATCAAGTATAAAAGGAAAATTACAAATGATAAATCTGTCTAGGGAAATTAAATTCCACTGACTAAACTAAACAACTGAATTTATGTTTTTAATAAGGGAACAAAGATGTAAAATCATAACTTTTTAAAAATGTTTGAATAGGTGGCATGATGAAATAGCTCTTCTGTGTGGTAATAAATTTAACAGGAAAATGAAGGATTGTGTACATAACTTTATTGCTTTTTTGGGCACACCCTGAAGTTTATAAGTCTGTAAATATGCCTACTTAGACTTAAACAAAACTTATTGGTCCACAATGGAAATTATTTCAATTATTAAGTTCAAATTTCTACCTGTCTGCTTGTTTCTGATGACAAAGAAGAAGGGATGATCCGCCATCACTTGTGGGTACAGCACCAGAGTCCGAGTTAGGGCAATCATTCCTGTAAAAATAAACACATAAAAAGTGTTAAATTGAGAGAAAAATGCCACTTCACTCAAGCGTACTGAACTGAAGTCAAACCTGAGCCAGCCGCGCCCTCTGCCCCCTCCTCCGTCACCTCCAGGTAGGCCTTCTGCACTGCCTTGCTGATGTAGAACTCCCTCCCATCTGAAATCCAATACATCACCAATAAGCCAAGTTTATATTTAAAGCACAATTAATTTAAGTAATTCATATCCAGGACAAGAAGAGTGCATTAAAATCATGTTACAAATAAACAAAAGAGAAGAGTGCAGATGCAATCCTTTCAGTCATACAGTTAGTTAGTCAACAGGGGGGACAAAGGTCTTAGAATTGGACCCTCTTCCTATTAATTCATATGGGAGGGGGGTCCATTTGAGGTTTCTTGCCCCAGACCAACAAATTTCTGTAGACAGTCCTACATACATTCATATGCACAGCTAAACAGAACTAGACAGGCTGGCGCCACCTAGTACCTCTGCCCAATTTCATTTCTCTCCAGCAACTAGGTCAGGAATCAGAATACACTAGACAGTTTGCAAGAACCTTGGAAGTTGTAGACCACACACCGGCCAATCAGTGAAGAACTGTGAAGCCGTGACGTCAAACTCAAGCGCCTGTCTAGGTCCTTTTTGTGGTACAGCACAACAGTAAATAAAGCAGTCGAGATGGATGTAGATGAAGACATACATTCTGTGTTGGCAACCATTCCCGAAATCAAGGATTTAAAGCCGGAACAAAGAGAATGTTTGGTGAATTTTATCAAGGGGAAAGACGTTACTGCCCTTCTTCCTACGGGATTTGGTGCATTACATACATTGTGACCAAATAGCAGCAATTGGTTAAATAAAAAAAGTACCAGCCTTCCGTTGAGAGAACAAATTCCTAATGCTGTGGTCAGACGGTTTCCACGAAGTGAAACCGACTGATGAATTAGGCTAATCTGTTGAAATCTGTTTTTAAACATTGTGAAAGTAGAGGCTTGTCTCAAGTCTTCAGGAAGACTGTTACAGATTTCAGCTCTATAAAACTGAAACGCTGATTCTCCATGTTAGTCCTGATTCTGAGGACCTCAGGGGCCGACCTCCTGCTGGTGCCCAGAGAGAGAGATGGCTGATATAGCACTAACATGCCAGAGATGTAGAGCTGCTTTAAAGTCGTCTCTGAGCCACAGGAAGAAACTAAAATATAGTCAGTGGGCATGTAAACAAAAAAAAAAAAAAAATAAAAAATATATATATATATATATATATATATATATATATATATATATATAATATATATATATATATATATATATATATAAAGAAAATAACTGAACAAAAATATGGACTCGAACAGCAACCCCCCCAATTTATTTATTTTTTTTTACTTAGGAAGTCAGTTAGTTGAGACTACAGAATAGCCCATATAAAAAAGAGACTTCCAATATCTTAACAATAGACAGTTTTCCATCCGGTCAAAAATCAATTAAATAATACATTGCTTTTGTTTTCTTTTTTGGTTGAGAATATCAGACCATCATGAAGCCAACTGTGCACAAAAATGGAATGAAAAAAAAAAGAGAAGCCTTATTTTTGTAAAACTGACCAAAAAACCCCCTCAAGAATATAACTGATTCTCCATACTTTCTGCAAGAGTAAAAGAAAGTAAATTTTTGCTTTTGGCTTTTAGTGTACTAAACTGCGCGCACACAAAGCTCTATTTTAAGTTATGTGACAATCCTTATGCGCTTGCTCAAGAGCCAGTTACCTTGGTTACACTGGGGACATTACTGCAGCCGAGCGTCACAGATATGCAGATACATGGCTCTTTGAACATGATTTTCATACCAGTGTTGATGCTTAGAAGTTACCTGTCATCCCAGAGAGGTCTGCGCTGCTGCTAAACATGCTCTTGACTCCCAGCTCCTGCAGCAGATCCTTCAGGTCAATGCTTTGCTCCACTTTGAACCTGAAATGAGACACAATATGCACTATTAAGCTGGATATTAAAGATTGAAAGGGCTCATATCACACTATTTTAAGATCTATAATAATGTTATAATGTAGTTTCTTCATCACAAACATACCAGGAACTGCAGTTTGTTTCATTCACACATGTTTAACACACAAATCTTGCACATTTAGGCTGAGTTCTTTTCTCAAGCTGAAAACAGTAACACAAGAAGTGCTCCACAGCTTTGGAGATGTAGACAGACTAATAATAAAGGGTTAGTCAAACATGTGTGATTGAAACAAAACACAATTCCAGGTATGTTTTTGACGAGGTAACAACATTATAACATGTCTTAAATCTTACAAGAGTCAATCTTGCATAAGACCTTTAAATGGCACATAAGTGTAAATTGAAATCTAACGCTGCACTACCACACGAAAAGCTTCTGGGAGATTGGTAAACAAACAAAATTATTCATAATACAGTTTAAAAAAAAATAATATTACACATTTTATCAGAGAAAAAAACAGCATTTGATTTAAACTGTTTACTTAATGAGAGAGGACACAGATGGTTTAAGAAATATCTGAGAAATCCTACACTGCCTTTAAAATCTCACCATCAACATGCAAAAGGAATAGAGACTGAAGTTAACTATAGATTAATTATATTTATTACATGGATTGACCTTTCTAGCCCTGTTGCCATACACAAAGTGTCAAACTCTATCTTGAAATTAAGGAAAAGTTTTGATTTGACAATTTAGATTCTGCATTGATATTCCAAGAATGTTATGTCATTTAGAAAAAAAAAACCCACAACATCAGTAGTTTACCAAATTTCAGAAAAAAGAAGAGAGATTTTAAATGAAATTATAGAACTTATGGCCATTATTTGCTACAGCAAGCTTTCAAATACTGTTTTTAGGTTGTTGTTTTTTTCAGAATCTATGGGAAAAATTAAATGGGGAATTGAATTAAAAGGGAAACAACTGGATTTAGATGGAAACCATTCTAAAAGTATTCAGGGCCAGTTGTGTCCCTTTCCAGTGTTGCTCAAATTTGTGACTAAATTTGATACTTGTTTTCAGTGGTGGATGAAGTACTTGATTTTTTTACTGGAGTATCACATCACATGAAAAAAACTTTTAATAAAGTACCTATTTAAAAATGTACTTAAAGTAAAAAGTAAAAAATATGAAGCAGAGAATTTTTAGTAATTTTAAAGTAATTCATTTGATGTATTAATTTTTCTAGCTGTTTTTGTGTATTTGGTTTTCTCAAAGCTGGACGGAATGAAATAAAATGAAATGTCAAAATGTCGTAAAAAAGTCTCAGCCATTTCAAAGCACTTTTTACTTTTCAGTCCAAATGCAGTGGAGTAGAAAGTACACGTACATGCTCTCAAATGTAGTAAAATAAAAGAAAAAGTATCCACTGTAAAACGCACTTAAGTAGAGATATCTAAAATTTGTACTTAGGTATTATTTAGTATAGTACTTTTACTTTTATACTTCATTACTTTCCACCACTGCTTGTTTTAATGTATGGGTACTGACAATTTTCACAACCACAGTGAACAAAAAATATTAGATCAAAAGTCTACACCACAGACAGAATTTCTCCAGAGCATTCCTGAGATTTGAAGTCTTGGCTGCAGTTCTTACTTGGGGAGGTAAACTTCCACCTTCTGGCGCTTGACGTTGTTGGCCCACTCCTCCAGCAGGGGGGCTCTGATGATGGGCTCCAGCGTGGCCAGAGGCACCTCCTGTCGCGGCAGGATGATCATCATGGACATGTCCTCTCCCTCGTACGGCATCTCCAGGACCTGGTACACTCCGCCCGCCTCCTGGGAACCGTCACTGAACTCACCTGGAGGAAAAGGCAAGATATACACTCGAGTCAAAATACAATTACTGATGAGTAAACCTCATGATAACACATTTTGAAGTATGATATTACTGAAGTAAATATAGACAATATACGAAAACATTGAAATCAAACCATGAAGCTGTATAAATCCTCTCAAAAAAAATATTCTAAATGCATAATACTGTAAAAAAAATATGAGCTGCAGTAAATGAATGCAATGCTTATTTTACTTCTGACTCATTATAGAGTTTGTTAGATACTTTATATAGTTAATTTGTATCTATAATGAGTTCATAATTCAACCTACAATTCTACAGCTCAAATCTCATCCCAGAACAGAAAATAACCCAAAATTTCCCACTTTATACAAAATAATACATATAAAAATTGGCCAAAACATGTATTGTCCCATCCATCTTCTCTTATATTATCTTGATATTGTAATTTTTGACAGGCCTAGTGGTGAAGAACATTAGAAAATTATATAATTCCACTTGTAAATAGATTAGTGATTTTGTGAAATTTGAAAATAAAGATTCAGTTTGCCGTGCACATTTTGAACACATCCATGAACTATCCTATGCACTTCAGAACATGTTTGCATTAGGATTGCCAGAATACCAAAATTTCAACCTTGACTCAAATAATGAACACTGGACTTGACACTCCATACCAATTTTAATTCCTAAGAATAATAATGGACAATAAAACACTCTTTTATAGACAATATATACTGTAATTTTAAATACTAAATAGTAGTTTATTTTTAATATTACCATGTGGTCTTATACTAGCAAGATCCTTCAAAAGTTAAGAACTTCAGGAAAGATTGAATTATTATATTTTTGTGATTTTTTCCCCCTGTATTTATACTTCAAATTAGCATCTAGTTTCAATACTACTACTATAATTATAGTATAAAACCTGCAAACCCTGTAGTTTAGACCTCTGCCATCTACGGCTCTCAAAATTGGACATCAGGGAGACATTTTATAGTGTACACGGTTAATAATAATCGCATTTCTTTGAGATAAAAATCAATGATAGCATTTTAAGTGATGGTTAGCTGGTTGATTAGATTTGGAGATCCAGAAAAACATCTGTGAAGCAGAATAAATAATTCCTGCTGTCTTAAATATGAGTGATTTGTCATCTCTTACAACACTCCAACTAATCCTATATTGACAAGCACGTCCTCTTTGCGCATCTCTCATCTTTGTCCCAGTTTCCCTTTCCATTACTATGCACTGTGGGTAACTGCAGAGGAGCCAGAGTTCCCCCAAACATTTGACTGAACCGCTGCTGCGTTCTGCTTGAAAAGACGAATGCAAACAGTGGCTGATCCCGGAGGAGCTGTCCCTGTTCTGCTCTCACTGAAGCTGGCGGCGCGTTCACATCAAGCTGCTGAGGAGGCGGAGGAGGCGTGCTACAAATACAGAAATAACTACAACCTAAGCGGGGAAGTGAGGGGGATAGTTAATGCTGATTCTCTTTATGATTAAAAAAAAGGCACAGGTACACAACATTTGCAATTATAACAAGAAAAGTCAACTGCTCAGAGTTACTTAATTAGCTACTTCTAAATGCAAATATGAAAATGGTGAATTAAAAAGTCGGCAATGTACTATAATGTCTTTTGTGAACAATATATCCATGTCTTCTATATCTGTTCTGACCAAAATGCATGTGATTCTTATATTAGTTTAGTAAATAATATTATGGTGTGTAAAGTAAGTAACCGTATGCACCCCTTTAAAATTAAATGTGATCTGTGAGTCTTATATCCCAAATGTAACAGTAATTACAGGTGTGAATTTCATCAATTACTATCAGAAGTTTAGTAAATGGCAAATAAATTGGCTCTGACAAGTCAATTTTAAATCTTGTGTGTGATAGGATAGTAAGCCATTTATAATATTTTAGGTACATGTGTCCAGTTAAAGACAATGTATCTGATTTCTTTCCAGTAAATGCATCCCGAATTTTGGACTACCAGTCATCACACAGTGCATACTGGGAAGGGCCCTCTGAAAAAGTGAGCATTAAACCGCCATGTTTGATTTCCCAGTGGGATGCGTCTATTATCAAAGCTGATTTTTGACAAAATTTCAAGTCTTTTGAACCATATCAGTTTTGTTTCTGGTTCTGATATTGTCATATATTAGTTATGAGATTCGTTCGTTGTAATTGTGTGGTTGTTGGATGTCCTAACAGCGGAAAACGGGCTTCAGAAGATCGGTTTTGACAACAGACGCACCCCACTGGGAAATCAAACATGGCGATTTGATGGTCATGTTTTCAGAGGACCCTTCCGAGTATGCATTGCGTGATGACCGAAAGTCAGAAATTCAGGATGGGGAAAGCATTTTTATATATAAGGTAAGTGAGGAATATCTCAAACCATTTCTATTTCCCATATTTTCAAGACAGCAAAATAGAATAGAATACTAAAATAGAATAATATACTTTTGGACAATGTCAAAATGTATGTGTATGTATACTGTATGCTTGTATAATGTACTGTATGTGTAAAGGCATTTAGTGGTTGCCAAAAACAAAACAAAACCAAACCAAAAATCCCCCCCAAAAACAAAAGATATAAGGGAACAGAAAATATCTAAATGCAAATTTGATTTGACAGCTCTGAAATGTAAAAACACACATGCAAAGACTGCATTTAGAAACTCTGAACTACACGCAACCTCCTCCCCCCAGTGCCCCTTCTTTCAGTCTTTCTTCTTCTCTTCTTTTTATTTACTTATTGTTCTTTTGTTGTTTGTTGTTTCATTTTTGTATGTGTGTCAGTCTTATATTTTGTCATGTCTGTTTTGTTATTAATGTGCTGGGAATCCATTCCCTCAAAATGACAGAATTATTAAAAAAAAAAAACAGCGAAACACAAAATCTAGGAAAAAAAAAAGCAGATTCTTATGGGAAATGTGTCCTGTTTATAGTGTCTAGTCACAACAAAACTGTCAGCACAGAATCTGGTTCTACAGCGTATGAAAAAGACTTGTAGCCCCACTAATATTGTATGACGTTGACAAAGTGGCTTTCAAAGCTTACTAGAGAATCCAAAAAGGCATACCAAAGTAGTTTGTGTAAGTGGAGAATTTCTGTAACAGCGAGGAGGCTTCCCGGGAATAAAACTCAGCCTATGAATATTTTAGATCAAGGATTAAGATTTTAAATAACCTCAGGAAATACGGGCTGAAAAATCAAGGATGAAAAGAGCCCTGGCAAGTGTCTTTGCACAGCAGACATAAGGGACCTTTACGTACCGTAGGAGAAGTCCCCCTGCTGGTACATCATGAGCGTCTGCACCTCAGAGCCATCATCCCTGCTGAAGGAGAAGGTGCGTGTGTTTTCGGGTCGGAACTGGTTTTTCCAGGAGCCCCTGAAGTAAACGGCGTTCACCAGGGTCACACGGGTCAAGCTGTTGAAGTCCTCTGGGGAGAACAGCTCGCGGATCTTACCTGAAGAGGAGACAATGGGATATAGAGTCAAGTTATATATTAGAATTTGAAATGATGAAATATGTATTATTTAAGTTATGTATATTTAATTAACCATTGAGCAAAGAATCTGATAAAGTTCAAGTGGCACAATGTTGTAGCATGTAATGAGACCAAAAAAAAAAAGGTCTTCTCATTTTGAAGTGTAGCAAGCTAATCCCTCCTGGCCTATGTGCTCATCCTTATGAATTAATTTACAGTCTTTGCTCTTTAATTTTAACACTAAAACAATTCTCTGAGTTCATATATCTTTAACAAATTATATATCAAAATGTAATTAAAAGGAACAAAATTATTAAATTACGACAATAATTATGCATGATTAAGTGTTTAATTTAACATTTAGGGAACCTGTGTGAGCTGGATCCTTTTCAGAATAAAACTCATGGGTAACAACCTGCTTTAAAGCCCCATAGTACTACTCAAGTAATGTGTGATATTGGTAATCAAAGATAGGTTTTCTTACTTCTGTTTTGTTCTGTAATAAAATATCTAGCTTCAGACCCCCTGAGAGAGGCACACTGCACAGTCTAAAAACTCCACACAAGCATGTCCTTACTCTCAGTGTGGTTCTCCACCCAGTGATTGATGTGCTGGGCCACTGCAGCAGACTGGCTGAAGTCCACAGTCTCCACCTGAGCTTTGAAGTACTTCTTCATGAGGTGCACAAACTCAGGGCTGAAGGACACGCCCTGCTGCAGGTACAGGCTGTTGGCAAACCTCACCACGTACTGAGAATCGTCCTCTGACAGCGCTGTGGTCAGGTTCTGGAGCAGAGAGAACTCCACTCCTACAAACAACACACAAATACTGTCAATAATGATGAAGGAAAAATCATTAAACCTCTAAAAATCTTAAATATGAAATGTAATTATTGATCAATTTAACAAAAAAGTCACAAGCCTCTGGATTCTCTTTCCAGCCCCAAAAAGAGAAGAGCAAAACGCCTCTGCCAACTCTATACACTTATCTATGTAATGCAATGGCTTCTTTGTTGTTTGGGGATTATTGAAAATCCTTTTGTGCCTGTGAGGCTAATGCAGTGTACATCTTTTTATCTGACCAATTTAGGATCAATTCAGAAAGGCATTTTTAAAAAAATACTGTATTAACAGATCAACTAATTATTATATTACCAATCACCAACACATTAGATCAGAAATAATGACTCTTATTGTGTTACTCTTACTAAACAATAATGTTGATAATTAGGGGTGTCAAACGATACGATATTGTCACGGTATGAACATCACGGTAAGATATTTATTGCGATATAGTGCAATATCGCTCAAGATATGGTGAGGAGGCTCACAATTAGGGATGTAACAATAGCCAATAATACAATAATAATAATAATAGCCTTGAGAATACTTAATCCATAAACTAAGACTTAAAAGTGCTTAGAAATGTTATTTCATCTAGTAGTCTGCACTGAATTGGAGCAAAGGATCATGTTCTATGTAGTTCCCTCTGTCTTTTTTTAGCTCTTGCTGCACCATAACTCTTAATTTAAGCAAAGAGACTTGTAATTCGGTATATTGTGACGGTCCATGATATTATTGTGAGAACTCTGACAATACGATATCAGGATATTTCTGTTAGTGTTACGTCCCTATTGATAATGCCACCAATTCTAATATGTCATTTGATTCAACGTGGCGTGATCTTAACCGTGCACACATGTGGAAAATGATCTTGTGAGATTTTCCCCATGTGTTTACATTTGGATAGGACAAAAAAGCGAACTTTCTTACTTATAAATATCAAAATCTTATCTCGTTTTTGTGGAACCATTCTCCTTTCGTCCTATCCGAGTGAAATAAAATATAACTTGATGCTTCATGTCTCACCTGGCATCATCTGACTGAAGCCCACCGCCTGCCTGATCTCCTCCAGCGTGTCACCCCGGGCACCCAGTTCCACCATGCCCAGGGCCACAGCCACGCTCAGGGGGGAGAAGATGATGTTGTCCTGGCCCACCCTGGCCTGCAGCCGCTGGTACAGTCTGACCGAGAACTCCGCCGTGATGTCCTCCGGTATGTCCGCCGCCCGGCAACTGTCGCCCGGCAACAAGACGGAGAGGAGGAGGAGCAGCAGTGGGGGCACCATGATGGACATCGCAGCAGCACGTGGCGCACGCATAGCCGACTGGGAGGGAGAGAGAGGAACCAGGCATTAATCAGGGGGGCAGTCAGGAGGGAGATATTTGGGCGAGGCAATGACAGAGGAGGGCTGGGGAAATGAGAGGAAGAGGAGAGGGCGGACTGACGGATGGAGTGATAAGGCACACACAAGATTATTGTGTCAGAGAGTGAGAGAGTGAGGGAGTGAGGGCATGAGAGAGTGAAGGGCAAGAGGATTTTGGAGAGGAATGGAGAGACAGATGGACGATAAAAGGACGAGGAGTGGAGGAGAGAAAACATGAGTTAATCGTTGAGCGCTGGACCGAGAACTAATGAATGAAGATTAGAATGTGCTGTCAAGCTGTAGAGTGCACTGCAGAGCCAGCCTGATTCCAGCACAGGTTGTTATTAGGATATATACAGTCTTTCCCTAAATTCATCCAAAACTAGCATTAAAATTGACACGAACCCATCTGGGCAGATTAAACTACTTTTGAATGATTCCTGACAAACAATTTAAGTCAAAAATAAGTATAAGTAGACCCCCTAACATGCGGTACACTGACATAAAATAATACAACGCATTTTGTCTCTCTTGAAGCACGCTGATCCAGTTTACAGGTGAGATATTCTGCAGAAGTTATATTTACACTGGTACATCATCATTGCTTTAAAACAAGCCATGTTTTGAGGTCAACACATGTGGCTGCACTTTTGCACATTAAGGACAATCCTCTGGTTCATTACAGACAGGCATTTCAGTGATTTTATTCACAGTACTACAACTAAGACACTTTTAAAGAGAGATGCCCTTTCATCCTAGCCAGGGTGGCACCACCTATTGCCTCCGCTCAATTTCATTTCTCTCCAGTGATTACGTCAGGAATCGGAATACACTAGACTATTTGCAAGAACCCCAAAAGTCCGAGTCTGGGCACCAGCCAACCAGTGAAGAATCATACATTCTGTTTTGGCAACGATTCCCGAGATTGAGGATTTAAAGCCGGAACAAACAGAATGTTTGGTGAATTTTATCAAGGAGAAAGACGTTATTGCCCTTCTTCCTATGGGATTTGGGAAAAACTTAATATACCAGTTAGCCCCATTAGTGGCGCATTACATATGTCACGATCAAATAGCAGCAACTGGTTAAATACAAAAAAGTACCCACCTACCGTCAAGCAAACGAATTCTAATGCTGCAAGGTCAGACGGTTTCTATGAAGTGAAACTGGCTGATGAATCAGGCTACTTTCATCCTGTCCCCAATACAAAAACTTTAACCACTTGAAATCCTTGTAACATAATAAACCTGCATTTGTAGGCTATTTTAGGATCAGGAACATACACACCTTACCATCATGCTGATGCTGTGGTTGCTAAGCAACATTGTTCCCGTTCTGAGCCGAACAGACAGAGTGATATATACTTCCACAGAGCTTCTCCTGTGCCTGTTAATCACACATTCTTCCCCATCTCTGTGAGCTGATGTGCTCTGTGGGTTTAAAGCGGAGGCAGAGGCAGAGTCAGGCAGCGCTGGAACCTGCTGGCTGCTCCTGTATGCGCCCCAGCCTCTCACAGAGATGACAATGTCCCAACACCAACCAACAACAAAGAGCAGCAGCCAGAATCTGTGTGGCTCTAGTCTGGCATGTGCCCACATCACTGCAGCAAGCACCACTCTCACACAAACACAAACAACAAACACATGAGGCCATCAAAGTTAGAGGCCAGAACAGGTGTGATTTGACAGGACAGTGCGCTCAGTCAACATGGCACCACAGTCATACTCGCTATTGCTGCAGAAAGGACGACGCAGACCACTCTGATCTGCAAAGGACTAGAATGGCTACTAAATAGTAAATATGATAATGCCTTTCTGATTGACCTGACCTTATATAACAAATTTTAAGATCATTCTCTGGCTATTCATACAATTTCATTCACAAATATCAAAATATTCTGTCTTATTCTGCATAAAAACATATAATCCTGTAGTTTAGGTCTGTACAAACATGTTTCCAAATGCCTTTTTCCTTTTGTTAATGCTCCTAGACATGTTTAAAATGTGAACTTTGAACGGAATCCTATTATTAAAACATAAAATAGCAATGCTTGTCAGAAAATTGTTCACCTCTAGGTCACTCACTTACAAGTCAAACGTTCCACTTTTTTGTACTATTTTACTGTTAAAGGTGCATTGGGTAACTTTTCTGATGGGGGTCCGTCAAATGCTTTTCTCCATGGAGATGTTATTGCTTTGTCTGGAAAATTTCACAGTATGGTATTAAACCTTTGTATTATCATGAAGTTACAGGTCAGATCTGTGGAGAGGCGACCCCATTCATGGTCAGAATGCCTGTTTCTTGAGCTGTAAAACCACCTGTAATTTAATAAATGTAAAGCAGATCTGTTTAATGTCATACTGTGGAACAATCCAAAAATGTTGCACAATGCGCCTTTAATGTATCACACTCCACTCAAAAAACCTACCTTCAGGTCAAACACAAACTTTTTAAAAAGGACAGATGCGTCAATGTCAAAACGCAAAATGGCTGGAGACGTCCCTGTTTTTACAAAGCACTCCATAGGGTACAGTATTCACAGAGCTCTTTGAACGCCACATCAGAGGAACGCGTAAACGTCTTTGGGCACATATAATCTGACAGGAGAGATCTCGAGTGGTCCGCTCTCTATGCACTGCAGAGTCACGTCTTTTCTAGTCAGCAGTGCAGGTGAGCTAGATAAGCATTCAAACCTATGGGCTCCTGGATAATCAAATACGTGATGCTAAAGGCTAAACATGTATTGTGGATACGTTGAGGAACAGAGAGAGAAGGCTTTGGGAATTGGATGTTCGAAAAACAGGAATTACATGTAAATTGGCAAAGCGTATAATGACATGGCACCAATACAAAAGATTTAAGATATTTGTAATCAGGTAGTTGTTGTCTTTAAAAAGGTCCTTTTTTTTTTTTTTTTTAAACAAAATGTTGGAGCCTCAAGTCATGTTAGAATGCTGTTACCTCATCAAAAAAATACCCAGAGGTGTGTTTTTTTCATTCACACGTGAGTAATTCTGGTTTATTAGGCTACGTTTATATGATGATGGTGTGAACATAAGACGCAAAAGTGGCGTCGCGCCTTCACTTTTTATTCCACGTTTAGATGAGCTTTTCGAGAGGAACTCTGCGTGCCTACGGTGATACAAAAGTGTTTGGAATTTGATTGGTTATGCATGTACTTAACACAACAAGGGCATCTTTGGACATACGGAAGTTTTCACGACACGTATTTTCACCCCTTCCATAAAGTATCGACTGGTTCTCCCAGGTCTCGTCCATAGCTGTCTGACTCACCTGCGATGAACTGAACTGGTGCATCTGGTCTGGCGCATGGAAATGATCCGACATGTTTGTTTCCATGTACTGTATATATGTGGCGCAAAAGTGTGCGCGACGTGAGCAGATCTGACCAGAGTTTTGTGTCTTGGGCAGTGTAGACAGAAACACTACAGTGCAGCATATTCAACTACTGCACTGTAGTGTTTTTCACTCCCAAAAACGCCATCATCGTCTAAAGGAAAGGCACTTCCAATAAAATATTTTGTCATTTTTACCCACAAGCGTTCTCGTGTTAACAGGCTCTTAGTCTGTCCACATCTCCAAAGCTCAGAATGCCCTGTTCCACCTTGTGATATCATTAAGTTGTAGTTTTCGAGTTAACAGACATCTTTTATTTTCAGTTCAGTAGAGACTGGCACTTGCAGGGCTGATACTAGTGAAGGTGTATGGAGTTTAAAAAACGTAACACACTCCTGTATTACCACAACATCACAAGGTGGAACAGTGTGTTTTCTGTGTGAGAGAAGAACTCAGCCTAAATATGCAGGGTTTGTGTGTTAAACGTGTGAATTAAACAAAACAGAACGCCATTTATATTTTTCAGTATATATTGATTCTATTATTTTGGAACATAATTTTGCTATGTGAAACACTTTGGAAAGTGTCTTGTTTATCTTGTTATTCTTGTAGATCATTTTCTATCCAGGTTCTCTCTACTCTGCTCCTCTCTGGTCTGTGTGTGGTTCTGACAAGGGCGTGCAGGGGTGGGCGAGCAGTGGATAGGCGTCTGCTTTGGCTCACTGTCTGCCCCGTCTGCCCTGGTAAAGCGCTAATGCTCCTGACCTTCTGCGCTGTGGGAGCTGAACTTCTCTCCCTCGCACAGCTCTGGGATTGTACAGAGGAAAGACCCAGACAGACACTGGACGCGCCCCATTTCAAGTGCATTCGATCAAGTTTCAAGATTCCCATGACGCTAATATTAACTCTCGGAAGGATGTGGGAAAACCCGGATACAAACGCCCTCTCGTGACTAACGCAACCTGATAGGGCTTTAGGCAGCAGTGGGATAATCCATACAACTTTATTAATTCCATGCAATTAAACTGACTGGCCTTTAAAAGCGGCCTCTAATCTCCCGGTGTAATCCCAATTCTCATACAGGAAAGATGGGCAGTTGACATTTACACAATTAAAAGGTGACGTCATGCACCTTAATCCGTGTGTGCCATTTAAACCTGACACCCCGGGCTGACGCACTCCGGGGCATCTGCACTCATGTGTTCAGAGTAATAATCGGAAAACGCCCCCTCATGGATATGCGTGTAAAAGCGTGTTCATTGCATTACACAGAGAAAGGATCTGTTGAGGGTTGAAGCCAGAAATAGTGCAATGGTGTTATCGTGTAGACTGCTGGAAGATGCAACTCAAAACCGACGCGTATGGCATTATAAAAAGTCCATGACCTTTACTATTCTATTTTTCTGCAATTTATAATCTTGTTGTTTGCAAGATAATCTATACAATAAGGGACTGCATTATGTTTTTATTGGTTGATCATGCTCTGTTAGTATATTAGTTGTGGTGAGCAGTGGTGTGACACCCAAATTCTAGCCCGTTTGGCACCACCTTGTGCCTCCGTTCTGTTTTATTTCTCTCCAGCGACTAGGTCAGGGATCAGAATA